ACCTACATTAGCCAAATCCATCCTAAATTGGACTGCATGAACAGCAAACAGAAAATGATGCATAAGCTCATTTCCCGATCAGACCCACCAGGAGGCAGTTGGTGAGTGTCACAAAATATACAAACATACAATCATCAACTTAATATGAATACAACAATATTACAATGTCTCAGAAGCAGCAGACAATTTTTGTTCACTCAAAGAAACAAGACATAGTGGCACAAACAAGTTACAAAGAAACAGAGCTAGAAAATATTTTTGAGGAAAAAAAGACATTGGACATACCAGAGAAAGAATCCAATGGAATGACATTTGGGTATATCTAAAGGATTGACAAGGAGCTCTGGTAGTGTAGTGGTTACAAATCGGGCTGTGAACATTAAGGTCAGCAGTTTGAAACTACCAGCTGTTCCACGGGAGAAAGATGAGGCTTTCTGCTCTTGTAAAGATTTACAGCCTCAGAAACCCTGTACAGGGTTGCTATGAGTTGTCCATGACTCCACGGCACATAACCACCACCACCACCAAAGGATTGACAGACAGATAGAGGAAAACAAGGAAGAATTAAAGAGCACTCTACAGGAATAATCAAACAAAACAGATAAAGGATTGGAGACAATACAAACCCTGCAAATTGAAACCCAGAAGATTGATGCTAAGATTTCAAAACTAGACAATACATTGAAAGGGCAAAGGAATAGATTTGAATCAATGGAAGCCAGAATTAGTGAACTTGAAGACAGGTCTCTCAATACTAGTAAAATTGAAGAACAACCAGAAAAAAGAATGAAAAAATCTGAAGAAAGCCTAAGATTCATGTGGGACATCATGAAGAAGAATAAGTTAATGGTGATAGGAATTCTAGAACAGAAAGAGATCAAGAAAAGCACAGAAAAGATAGTTGGAGAGCTGTTGGAAGAAAATTTCTCTAACATCATGAAATATGAGGAGATTACCATTCAAGAAACAAAACAAATCCCAAATGGGATAGACCTCAAAAGAAAATCACCTGATCAGAGCTCAACCAGAAAAAGAGGAGGAAATAAAGCGTAATCTGATACAATTTGATGATCTTGACCTACACCTATGGATGCAGTAGCTCAAAAGAGGAAACAATCTTTACTGCAAGAATCATTCCCACCCCCTCCACACACAGAGTAGACAGGGATAGACAGGGATGGGCAACTTGGATATTGGCTACACAAAATGGGGGTGGGGAGGTGGCTACAAAGGCAAGAAGTGACTGGCTTACAAGCTTTCAAGAGGGAACCTAGATCCAGAGGGCGTGGAGGAAGGTAGAATCTCCAGTGAGTAGTATCCAATCTGTCTAGGCAGGACTGATTAAATGAAATGCAGATAGGTCTCTTGTGATATAGTAGTGAATAGTTGTTAATAGGACTGATTTTGAGGGTAGGAAATGTAAAGATAGACATTTTGTAGCAAGGAGGGGAGTGATTAACTTTTCAGTCTAGGAGCAGAGGTCCCTAGGACCATCAATGGAAAAGAGCGGAGAGCGGGACCCTACCTAGAGAAGCAATGATCCCTGAGATGGAGACAAAGGTGATGACGTGGAGAGATGGAGCAGCTGGGGACTTGAGATCCAGAGAGGGAGAGGGGCTGTGTGTTGACGACCGGTGGAGGGCGGGGGGAGACAGGCTTGCAGGGTATACTCTTTGGTTGGTTGATGATGCATGGAGGGGATTGTAACTATGGCAATGAAATGATATACGATTGAATGAATGTAAAACTAATGTTCTCCCATGCAAACTATCACATAATTCACAATAAAACATTTATAAAAAAAAAAAAAAAAAAAAAAAAAAAAAAAAAAAAAAAAGAAAGAAAGAAAATCACCAAGATATGTCATAATCAAACTCTCTAAAATCAAAGACTTAGAAAAGAATCCTGAAAGCAGCTCAGGAATAATGAAAACCTACCTGCAAAGGAAAACCAATAAGATTAAAGTATGAATTCTCAACAGAAACCATCAAGCAAGAAGGCAATAGGGAGACATATACAAAAATCTGAAAGAAAAAACAATGCCAACCAAGAATAATATATCCAGCAAAATTGTCCCTCTAATACAACAGCAAAATTAAAACATTTCCAGATAAATGAAAGGAATTTGTAAAAAACAGATCAACTTTACAAACCCTAAAAGAAGCCCTTTGGACTGTGAACAAACAACAGCAGACAACAGCCAGAGATTCATGTACACAGCAAAGCCACCCAGAATTCAGTCCAGATATAGAAGTGCCCAAGGTAAAACAAACCTACAAGACTGAAAATACGGAATCAGAGATACCGATTTATAATGAAGACAATGACAAAACAAGAAGAGGGAAAATTACAGAACTTACAAATGGTGAGGAAGTCAAATAGATTTCAAGATAAGACAGACTGTTTTAAAAGGGTGAAGAAATTAATAAATTACAGGGTAAACTCAGAGAAAATGAACACACCTTCACATCAAATCAAGATAATGGAAAACAGTGAAGATTTTGTAAACATTAAAACAGAAGTGAAGAAGTTGACAAGAAAATGCACAAACAAAATGAACTAGCACAGAAAAATGTGGAACAAAGAAAACAGCAGCACCATGAAAAACACACACAGCAAAATGACTGCAATCAATTCATATCTATAAATTACACTAAACATCAATGAATTAAATGCAGAGAGAGTAGCAGAATGGATTAGAAAAAAACAACAACCAGGATCCTTCAATATGTTATCTACAAGAGATACATCTTACACACAAAGACAAAAATAGATTTAAAATAAAGGGATGCAAAAATACATCATGTTGATGGCAATCAAAAATAAACAGCAGTGGCAATATTAATTTCTGATCAAACAGATTTTAAGACAAAAACCAACACAAGAGACAAAGGACATTATCTAATGATTAAAGGGTCACTTAAACAAAAGGACATAAACATAATAAATATTTATGCTCTCAATGAAAGAATCTGAAAATACATAAGTCAAACTCTAATAGAATTAAAGAAAGAAATAGACAACTCTATAA